TGCTGAGTATTAGCCAGCTATATTTAAGACAAACTCACTAGGCAGAGAATAATAATTATAATACATTACGACGAGTATGTTTTATAGAATATAAAATTATTTATTTAAATATAATATTATTAGAATAAACTAAACGTTTAATATTTTAATTGTTATTTTTTTATTTTAATCACACATCGTTAAAATATTAATTATAATGTTGATGTGTCATCATAATGTCATGTCATGTCATCATTAAAAATTTTAAAAAAGACCACGTCAATAAATAATTTCTTTTAACAATTAATGACCAAAATCAAATTAAAATGTAGTATTATGTATGATTATTTATAAAAAAAAATAATAGAATGACCAAAACGGAACAAGAGTGATAATTAGCGTATTAAACATGTAGTTTATCATATTATTAATATAATATTGAAATTATTATATTGTGATTCTATTATAATATTTGTTGTTGATTTTTACTTATTAAATAAACTAACATTACTTTTTTTGGGATAAATTTAATGTGAATATAAGACATTTTATGTTCAAAAACTATCAATTCTTTAACAATAAAAACTTATACCTTATATATGCAGTGCTTAAACCGATACCTCAAAATATAACAATAAATTTCTTAACCACTGAAATCGTGTGGTTCATGAAATTTTATATTATTTAAATATAACATACTGTCATATATCACTATGATTTAATTTTTTTTTTTGTTTTAATTGAATAGGTGCTAAATGATGGAATTGTTTTGTAAGAATATATAGTATTAAAGTCGGGCATGTGGATTATATAGTCAAGAAAGGTAGGCCAAGTCATCATGTTCACACATATAACACGCGAATGGGTCGTCAACCAGGACAATGGGAACGGTACTTTACATACCTTCCTTGTTCTAAGGATTAATTAATTTATTTATTTTTAATTCATCACTTTCCATTCAAAATAATATCACCTAATCATTTTAAGATATATATTATTCGTTATACATTACATAAAATATCCTAACGTATAGGGTAGGACACCCCCCAAATTTTGTTACTGGGCATTGAGCATTCAATTATACTTGTTTACCAGGGAAATGTTCTTTAGTGACTTAATTCCTAGGGTAGGGAACCCTAGAAGGTATTTTCCTCTAATATTACACATCGGATTGTGTGGACTACAGACATTTGACAGTGAAAAAGAAGCACTAATCTCTTTGGTTTAAGGGACATTTTTCATGGGTTATGTATAGCATGCCAAAATAAAGAGAGAGAAAATATTGATTACCAAAATAATGACACAAACATACCTTGATTTTATCCCATCTACATAACCATATTTAAATATGGGAAATAATAGCCGGTATCTAATGACATTTATTAAAGTTATATATGTATATGTATAATAATGACTTGGAAGGAATGGATTAATCATATAAGGTATTAGGAGTTTTTTTAAATTATGGTGGAATAAATAATGTGCGGAGAGGTCGATCAAATTATTTAACGACTTTCAAAAGTTGGTTTGACTGCATGACGTCTTCTATATTCAATTCAAATCACCTAAATGGTAACGTTGCTAGATTATGAGTTAACTATAGGAGAAAATAATATATCTTTCATATGTCTTTTTAAACACGTCATTTTTTATATGTGTCTTTCTAAAAGATGTTAAGTGGTTCTACCCATTCCTCCATATACTACTTATTCTTTGAAAAAAAAATCCAACACACCATATAACCCATTATTTTTGTCCTTTTTATATTATCTAAGAATTTTTGCCTTACGTATGTAGAAAAATATAATTAATAAATACAATGCTAGTTAGACTAACACTAAATTGGAGTTGTTAGATCAATGCTTTAAAAGGATTTATTAAGTTCTTTTAGTGATAAATAATATTATTATTTTTAAAATTTTAAGTTTAAACAATTATAATTATAAAATATATATATTATCATAATTATAAGATTTTTTTTAAAATATTATTTTATAATTATTTTAAATTATTGAAACATTAATGCCTGAAAATGACGAGGGATTAGGGCAGAGGTGACATTTAAAAGGGACCACAATGATAGAATTCTGACCCACTGTTGGACTTTCATAATCATTCGTTCATTCATAAAAAAAATACAAATAAAAACAATAACAATGGACAGAGTTCCGTTCCCACTATACTATCTTTGACCGCTGACATAAAAAGAAGAATACTATAATCGTATAAAACTCTGCGAGGAATTCAGTACCAAATGTACCCAAAATTCAGTATTATCTACCCCATATAGACTATTTAATTAGCTTTTTATACATTATATAGCTTATTAAACATTTTTATTAATTTTAAAAATCAACATAATATAAACTACAATAAGCAAACTAAATTATATAAAAATATAAAGCCTGTAAAATTAATTAAATATACAATCTAATTTTGTTTGTTTGTAACTTTGTACCTTCGTTGATAAAATTAAAAATACTGGTCAACAATCTTTAAAATAAATGGTTAAAATTTTTTGTAATTCATATTTTTTTTCTTTTAAGTTGTGAGTTAAATATTCATTAAGACTAAAATTCTTTACTCTTTATTCTGAGATTTGTCGAAAAAAGAGAAAGCTTTTAGTATAGGGTAAGCTACACGATTAGTATATAAATTATTAATTTTATTCTATTTTAATACTCAAACTTTATTTTATTTCCAAAACCATTAACGTTTAGTTTATATTTTGTTTTGATACATTGCCGTTAAAAATTTAATAAAATTGATGATGTTTCACCATAAGATAATGACACATCATCATTAAAAAGTAAAAAAAAATATCACGTTAACAAATCTGTTAAGCTTTTAATGATAAATACCAAAATAAAACTTAAATTGAATAATAATTTAATTATTAAACATATAGTTTATCCCTTAATATACTGGGAAGAAGAACGTTATGTTTTGTCTACACATAAATATATATTATCATGAAAAATATTAGATTAGGTACGACGAGATTAGCTGAGTGAAACTATAATGGGATTTCCGGATTATGGAAAGAAGTATAATTTTTTAATTCTGAAACCAGTTTGTGAACACTTATGGCATGGAAAAGTAGTTTTTTCTCGTAAATAATACTAAATATTTAAAAATTAATTTAAAATTATAATTAGAAAAATAATTTTTAAAATAATTTTAAAAGTTTAAATTTCTAACTTTTGATGTGAAAAATTACTTTTAGGGTAAAATTATATTTTTATCCTTGATTATTTATTTTTTATTTACAACATAATTTTTAAAATGAATATTTTATCTTTTCAAAATCACCTTTTAACAATAATCATAACATAAACAGTTAAATTATTTTTTAGTTATCCTTCTGATTTCAAGGTTTCGTCTTGATTAATCCAAATCGACCCGTATCACACATCTAACTTTGGTCGATGAGTCTCCTAGTATAAATTTTTTACATTCACAATGACTCAAACTTGAGACATTACTTAAACAATATCAAATAACTTATCACTTAAGTCAACCCCTATATACATAAAGAGTTAAATTTTAAATAACACTTTTTAAAAACATTTTTAGAAATACTATTTTACAGCACGTTTCAATATTGTTTTTTAAAATTAATTTTTTTGAAAAAATAATAATTAAACTCTCACCAACAACTCTCCTTTTCATTGTTGTTCAGAATCTTAACTTGGTTTCTACTTACCTTCCTTCACGGTGGTCATCTTTTGCTTTCATTTTATGTTACCCTTTGGCCTTTACTTAGTAACTTGCCAGTACTCATCATGAGAGAGGGTTCTGCCGAGCGGAATTAGAAATTTAATTTATTTATTTCTATGTTCGTTTTTTTATACATATTGAAAATTATATCTTTAATAATATTAGATATATAAATATCTTAGAATATTTCTTAATTATTATAACGTATATATATCATACAGACGCAACTGCTAAAATATAGAATCTTAAGGGAAAATAACAATTCATTTAACCATGAAGACACTTGATGGATTCGATTGTTTTAAAATATTATATAAAATATATAAATGGTCCACCAACAATAGGATATTGTTTCATTAAGTCTTTTGACTCTAAAAGTTATAAAATGATCTCCTAATTATAGGATGCTGATTTATTGAGTAAGTTGACTATTAAAAACTATAAAATGGTCATCGACTATTTATATGTTTTAAATTTATCATTTTTTATTAAATTTAGGGATCATATGATCTAGACGTTAACCTGTTAATTGAGTATGACAAAATCTTATTACAATCATTTAAGTTGTATTTTATAGATCGACTCTCTGTTTACATTAAATTATCAAGTTAATATTTAAAACATTATGTCACTGAATTAGTGTTTAAAAGCAACGATGATGACATCATATATTATTAAAATATAATTTTATTATATATCAATTAGTAGATTAACATACAATTCAGATAATTGTCAATTTTTTGATAAAAATATAAATTTAAAACATATGAATAATTTTTAATAGTTTAATACTCGACAAATAACAACTTTTTACTTAATTTATCTTAAAATATTTAAAATTATGTTATAAAAAATAGATTTAGAATACCAATAAATTCGAATACATCCAAACACTTCGATAGTAGGAGTAGCATATGCGTCGCGTCAATAAACGTAAAATTGTAATAAGTAATTTGCACTTACTTTTTATTCTTTCTAGAAATCGGCAATTCCTCGGTGTAATGCTGCGTTCAAAGCACAGGTTGAAAACTTTAGAATTGCACCGACCAAGGGTTTGACCAACCTTGACACGGTCATGTCAGCTGGACCCCATCGGAGATGGCCACATGGCAAGATCAGGAGTGTGGGAACATATAGAAGGATGTAATGGAGAAGATGATAGGATTATGTTTTTGGAACAATAATGGCGAGAGAGTCATAGATATACTTTTCTTCTACAATATACAGACTCTGTCAGTATTTTAATCTCTGCTGGAAACTCTACTGTTGGAGAAAGGAAGAAGATTGAAGAGTCTTGTTATATCCAATGGAGTATGAGAGAATAGACATAGTTCAGGTGGCCTACTTTTCTCTTCTTCTTTGAGCTTTACCATGTTAATGGGGGAGTCTTGATGTTTTGTTAATGGAAACATTTTTTGTGAAAAAGAGTTGGTTTTCAATGGTGAATGGTGTTTCTTCTGTTCTGGGTTTCAAACAAATTTCATTTTTTGATGTTCTTGTTTTGATTGAATTGAAAAGTGAGGGAAAAGAGTTTTCTTTTTCTAGACGATGGGAAATTGTGAGTTTGATTTCTTTTCTTCTTCTGAAATTTGTAGTGTAATGAAGGCTTATTTATTCTTCTTCCTTTTTTACCTTTTAAGTCACCTTTTCTTTTAATTACTGCAGAGTGGTATTTCACCAAGTAAATTAAGAATGAAGCTGATGGGACCTCATCATCACAGAAAAAAAGATGGATCAAAGTCACCAAACAACAATTCTTCAAGGACTTCCCCTTCCAGGGTTGAGGATGCTGAGTTTGTCAACAGTCTGTTAGGCTCTAAAACTGTAGATTTTGACGAGGAAGGTTTGTTACTTTCTCTCATTTCTTCATTATTACAAACAGCTAAATGGCTGTAAAATTTTAATCTAGGTAAAAACATGCTAATCCTGAAGCTCCCATTGCCTGCAAATTAGAGATAGTTAACATTTCTTTTGAACCTGGTTTAGGTTTCATCTGAATCTGCAGGCTGATTTGCATATATTCAATTGACTTGCAGTTCCCAGTTTAGATGTTGCACCGATGTTGGATTCCAGCTTAAATGATCAAATTTGTAGCCAAAATATCGAGACAGATCATGCTAAATTGCGGCAATTTTCGAAGACTGATAACGGGAACTCGAGTGCAATTCTTCCGATGAGGTCTTTGGAAGACGAAAATCTTGATTATGATAGCAATGCTAGTTCATCAAGCTTTGAGTTTCATAAAGGGGAGAGAATAGTACAAGGTTCCATGAGGTCGTACTCAAGACCTATGTCATCTAAGTGGAATGATGCAGAGAAATGGATAATGAACAGGCAAAACGTGCAAGCCTCTTATGCTAAGAAGAACGCATTTCACAACCAAACTAATCGATTTCCTGTGTTGAATACGGCGAGAGTTGCTCCTGACTCTGCAAATTATGATCTGAGGTCAAACGTTAATCGTACAGTTGATTCTAAGCGGTTCGATTTCTATCAGTCTGCTGTGCAGATGCCGTTCGAGAAGTTCTCTTTTAATCCCTCTGGACCTCATCCTAGTAAGGATTTAAGGGAAGTGGGTCAAATGGATTTATCTTGTACAAAAAGTTCGGCAGAAGATGCAACAGGTAAAATTGCATGATGAACTGTTGTATATTTTCATATACTGCATATTCTCTTCTGCATCGTTTGATCACCGTAACGAGCTTATGTGCAAGGGGTTGAGCCATGGGGCTGGAAGACTGTTTCTTCGACTTTTCTGGTCTCGAGATGGATACTCTATGTTGATCATGGTTCTTTTATTTAATCTTTATCTCACCTTATGATATGGCATTGCAGTTGTTCCTGCAATACGATCAGTTTGTATGAGAGATATGGGAACAGAAATGACCCCTGTTACTAGTCAAGAGCCTTCTCGGACTGCTACACCTGTAGGGGCAACCACCCCGCTCCGGAGTCCAACATCTTCGATCCCATCTACTCCTCGTGGAGGGGCACCGACATCAATGCCATTGGATGATGAGTCACAGCATCCTCCTGATAACGGCAAAAAGGAATTGTCAGAGGAAGAAATGAAGAATAAGACAAGACAAGAGATTGTAGCCCTCGGTGTGCAGCTTGGCAAGATGAATATTGCTGCTTGGGCTAGCAAAGACGACAAGGAGAACAATACTACTTCAGTTGATGCCACACATATGAAGAAGCTTGGGCAGATGGAATATGAACAACGAGCAGCCGCATGGGAGGAAGCTGAAAAGTCTAAACATACTGCAAGGTTCTGATATGATTCTATACACTACGAAACTATGCCATGTTTTATCGTACGCTCGTAAAACTTTTCGGCTGAATGCATATTTCGATTTCTCAGGTATAAGCGTGAAGAGATCAAAATTCAAGCATGGGAGAGTCAGCAGAGAGCAAAACTAGAAGCAGAGATGCGGAGAATCGAGGTATCGAAAATCCCTTCTCATATCCCATACTAGAAAATAATTAACATTATCAACATTTTCACACGACATATGTATGCTGACTGCTGAGCAATAAGCGTGTATATAATTATGTCCCAACTATTTTTAAGGCAAAAGTAGAGCAAATGAGAGCGCAAGCTGAAGCAAAGATGGTAAAGAAGATCGCAATGGCTAAGCAAAGATCGGAAGAAAAACGAGAAGCGGCTGAAGCTAGAAAAACCCGAGATGCCGAAAGGACTTCTGCACAAGTAGAATACATTCGCCGAACCGGCAGAATGCCATCATCCCATTACATGTGCTGCGGATGGTAAACAATGAATTATGAACTCGAAATTGTGATCTCTTGTAACTCTTTTTGTGCATTAGTAGTGATGGTGGAGTGTTGTACTCATAGTGGCTTTGTTGTGTGTGTTCTCAAATTGAAAGATGAAAGAAAGAAATCAGTGTTTAAATCCTTTAGATCATAATTTATGCAAATTTTAATTTATACCATATATAAGATAATTGGGTAAAGTACACAAATAATTTCTTGATCATAGAATATCAATTTGTTGGGTCTTTAGACTATTATAAGTTACAAAATGATTTTCGACTATAAGATGTTTTGTTGAGTTTAACGATTATTAAAAATTACAAAATGAATACCTAACTATTTATTATATTTCAAACTCTTTTTTTCATTAAAATATTGATGACAATTTGAGTTGGATGTTAATTTATTGATTAAGATATAATAAAATATGAACTCATAATCTCAAATGATTTATTATATCTCATTCAAGATATTAATGTTCAGTTTAAATTGTTATCAATTTTTTAATAAAAAAATGATTAGTTGAAAATATAATAAATAATTGAGTAATTATTTTATAATTTTTAATTATCGACGAACTTAATAAAATAACACCTTATATTAAAGGATAATTTATATTTTTTAATAATTGAGGATTTAATAAATTAATATTTTATAATTAGGTGACGATTTGTATACTGTACCTAAGAATTTTGTATAAAAAATGCAAATGGGTATTGATTAGATTTGTTGGCGTCGTATTTGTTTTGAATGAACACCAACTTTAAGTTCTACTACTTTTCAAACTCCAGCTAATCATCGAAGTTTGGGCGAGTATTCCTCATTCGAATTAAAATATTTTGAGTTATTTTAGTTTATGAGATATGTTTTACGATTCAAATTTAATTTAAAATTTTTGAAATCGAGTCGAGTTTATTAAAAATGGCCGAGTCAAGTTATTTGAATTTCTGTACAAATTTATTATAATTGTTTATAATATTAAGGTACACATTAGTTCTATTTTTTTTACTTCCTCTAACCATATAAGTTACATACATATATATATTTATTCATATTCATTTCATATTATAATATTATTTAATATATCAAATACAATATAAAATTATAAAATATATTTATAATGTTATACTTCAAAATGATGTATTTTAAGGATAAAATATTTATATGAGTATAAAGGAGTTAATTGATTAGAAGAAAGAATTTGTAAACGATTGCAGTCAAAAGATCAAATTGAGTAAAATGAAAAGTTAAGAGACTAAAATAAAAATATATATTTTTAGTAAAAAAAAAGAAAGTTACACATATATTCTATATTGGTAAGCATTTGGTTCAATTTTGGTCAAAAACGAATAATTGATAGTTGAATTGAAGAAATAAAAAAATTATGTTAACTCGAGAGAATAAATTGAAAAAAATAAAATTTTGTTATCAAAAATGAAATTGAAAGTACATATATATTCTACACTAATTTAGGGGTACGTGGTTTAAATTTATTGAAAAATAAACTCAAGATAAAAGAAGAACGAAAGGAATGAGAAAATTAAAGACTAAATGTAAAACTGTTAAATTATTCAATTAAAATTTTGATTTTTTGAGTGACTCGAAATTTTTAAATCTCAATTCGATTTGAACTCGAAAACCGACTCAACAGTTTGAGTTAACTCAAAATTAAAAAAAAAAATTGATTTTTTTAACTTGGAATGAGTTTTACTCGCCTCTAATCTAAGCAACGCCAGTTGGGCTTAAAATAAGTAGATAAAGTCAATGGTTCATAAATTTGTCTATTATGGCTCGTGACAGTTGCAAAAACAATGGTTTTATTTGTAATTTAGCTTTAAAATTATAGTAGTTTATAAAATTAATTGCACGACGTTTTAAATTCTATTTAAATTTTTAAGTTAACCTTAAATTTTAAAATATTTTAATTAAATCTTTAAATTATTAATATAATTTCAATCGAACATCAATTTATATATATGATGCAAAATATATTTAAAGCATATGAATCAATTTTAAACATTGCATAATTATTGCGCCCATCAAATAGTTTCAGTGTAAAAAGATATATTGATCTTTTTAGAAGTTATAAAATTGACCATCAATGTTTGTAAAATATGTGCATTATCAAGAAATTAATAAAATTTTAAACAAATATTATCATTATCAAGAAATTAATAAAATTTTAAATAAATATTATTTTATAATTATTTAAACTGTTACAGAAAATATTGTACAACTATCATGTATACAACTTGGACAAGAAGAAAAATGAATGGCAGGGCAGAAATGAAGGGAATGAATAGTGGCCGAAAGTGGTTGCCTTGCTTTGTAGCAAAGTGTCATAATTTGGCAACTCAATTACTACTACACGTGTTTGCTACCATTCTTAAATGTTTAAGTGGGAATTGAAGCACCACAAGGGGAAATGTTCAGCCAAAATTAGACCCCACATATATAGAATTTTAGTCCACATTTTGTTCATAAATTTAAGATGAATATAAATTTATATATATTTAAATATTTGTAATTTCTTTAATAATGAATGTTTATATTATTGTTTACACGATATTCGGATTAGAAACTTTAAGTGCTAATAGTAAATTTTTTGATCACTAAGATCACTTGATTCGTGTTCAGTTCATATTCTTTGATCATTAATCATAAAATACATTTTATAATTGTGAATAAAATCAAACTTCTGATCATAAGATTAAAAGATGAGATACAATATTATTCATATGATAGTCATTAAACTATAAAAAGTTTAACTGGATACAATTTTTTCATAAAATTATTTGACTTCTAAAAGGTTGACATATTTATCATTACTGACTTTAAATTTCATGTTAAATTTCATGAAAGATTTAGGAGAACAACAAATTATGAAGATTTCGACTATAAATTATGCTACTAGTGCTAGGGAGGATAATAATGTGGAATTCATTTTTGCTATTATTCTTAAATTTGAAAAAAAATATATGAGATAAAATTATAAAAAAATAAAAGAAAAAATAAGTTATTTTTACTAACCATAAGGTCAATTTATCTAGTAATTATATTATTTTTCCCCACAAAAATTTGTTAAACAATTGAGAAAAGGAAAAATTCCAATCGCACCCCATAAGTGGAAGCAAAATTGGAATCACTGTCGGCACCGCAGATATGTAGCCACGTGACGTCTCCAACATAGTCCACGATAGCTTGTTAGGTTCCGTACAAATGGCAGAGGGTGACGTGACACGCGTAAGTATGATAGACAGAGTGGGATCCGTGTGAAATTGGGGTTTATTAATTTCATTTTGGATAATAACTTAAATTAATGTTTGATTTCTATATGGTTAAAGTATACAAATGGTCCCTCAACTAGAGGATATTATTTTATTGAGTCTTATAACTATTAAAAGTAATAAAATGGTCATCCAATTATAGGACATTATTTTGTTGAGTCACCTGACTATTAAAAGTCACAAATTGTCACTTGACTATTCATATGTCCCATATTCATTCTTTTTATTAAAAAAATTAATGATCATCCGAATTAGATGTTAACTTGCTGAGTGAGATATAACAAAATTATATTCTAATAATATATATTTTTACCATCACTGCTTTCAAGCACTGACTTGACAACATAATATTTCAAGCACCGACTCAACTATATAATGTAAATACAGAGTCGATCTAAAAGATACAATTCAAACAATTCTAATATCAAATATTATCATATCTCAATCAATAAGTTAATGTCTAACTTTGACGACCGTCAATATTTTTAAAATGAAAAAAGATGAGTTTGGAGCATATGAATAGTCAAATGACTATTTTGTAATTTCTAATAGTCAAAAGATTCAAAAAAACATCACACTATGGTTGGAGGATCATTTTATAATTTTGAATAATTGAAAGACTTAATAAAGTAATTTCTTATAATTAGAGGATCATGTGTACTTTTGCCATTTCTGTAAACAATGGGGAGTGTGGACCAAGATTAAGAAGTGAGGTGGAAATTTACGAGACACACATTTGTGTGATTGATAAGCTACACTTTATTTATAATGCCAACGGACGAAACATTGCTTTTATTTATCTATTTATTATTTGAGATGTTGAATAGTTCCCTTTTATTATGGGCTGAATTGCTCTTATGATTATATGAAAAAAATTATTGATGGTTGTCGAAATTATTTTTTGTCTAGTCTAAATATTATAGTACCTATTGATAATTGCTGGGAATACAGTGTATCTTTAGAAAGTCGTCGAGAACATAATATGTCTTCAGTTTTGTTCAACGGCATAAAAATGGGAAAGACTTATTGTATTTTCGATGTTTTTCACGACATATTGTGTTTTCGACGACTCTCTTATTATTGTAATATTCACATAATCTCGAGAAATAATTACAACGATATTTTAATTTAGCCAATTTTTTTCAAGAACCCTACAACAGTAGATCAATCTATATTATTAGAATTATTGTCAATGCGGTTGAATTATTTAAATATCATCTAAAAAATAATTATCAAAATAATATTAATTTTAGGTTATTTATTAAAATAATATATTTTTTAAAAAAGTATGATTGATTAGTTACAATTTTATTTTATGTGATATATTTAATAAACACGCGACAGAATTTTCGTCAAGTAACCTTAATTGATTAAATGTGCCTTTTTCGAGTTTAAATTTTCAATAATGGTATGTTTTACAAACTATGGTTTATATAATTTTTCACCTTAATATTTTGATTTGAAATAAGGTTAAATAAAATATTTTTAGTTTATAATTTTATAGAGATTCAAAAAATTATTCGAGGTGAAACTTAATTTGAAGCAACACTGAAGAATTGAAATAAAATTAGCCAAAATATTCTTTGTATAGATTACCAATTTGAGGTAACAGTGAAACAAATGTAGATTGACGTACATGTAAAAAAAAATTAGATATTTTTATGGCATAATAATAAAATTAATCCCAATGATTTGTATAAATTATCATTTTAGTTATTATTTTTTTAGTTTTTTAATCTTTACTGTATAATAATCTTTATTGGCATAATAATAAAATTAACCCCAATGATTTGTATAAATTACCAGTTTTTGATACAAGAGTTTAGTCTTGTATCATTCAAATCAATCGATCAATGCCAAAATATTTAATTTTTTTTTTTATTTTGTTATAAATACTTGCCTCTTCATTTTTCTTTTTTTCTCCAACGGTTTACTTTATAACCATTTTAACGGCAACTACTCTACTTCTAGACTCTACATCTCATTCTCTCAGTTCACATAAAGAGTGAGAGAAAACATAAAGATTAATCAAGGAAAGAAGCTGTTTGTACAAGTTGTTGGCGAAAACCCAGATGGAATTCAGCTCTTTTTTGACGTCCTTGGGCACATCTTTTATACTATTCATACTTCTGATGCTGCTGTTTGCTTGGCTTTCCGCAAAGCCAGGGAACGCCGTGGTGTACTATCCCAATCGGATCTTAAAAGGTTTGGAACCGTGTGAAGGCGGTTCAAGGACTCGGAACCCTTTCTCTTGGATAAGGGAAGCCTTGTCTTCTACCGAACAAGATGTTATCAACATGTCCGGTGTTGACACCGCCGTCTACTTCGTCTTCTTGAGCACAGGTCTTGCTGTTTTTGTTGTTGTTGTGTTCTTCAACTCGATATGTATTCTGAATTTTCTGCTTTTGAACTTGTGCCAGTGCTAGGAGTATTGGTTTTGTCTGGAATTGTACTGCTTCCAGTTCTTCTACCCATTGCTGCAACTGATGATGGTTTAAGGAAGAACGGAAATACTACAACAAGCAAAGGGACTTTCAATGACCTTGACAAGTTGTCGATGGCCAATATTGAAGTAAGTTATAACTGGAAATCAAAAACATTGTAAACCCCAACCTTTACTGATGAGCTTCGTTTTGATCTGTGCAGGAAAAGAGTCCAAAGTTGTGGGCTTTTTTGATAGCTGTGTACTGGGTTTCTGTTGTTACCTATGTCCTTTCATGGAAGGCTTATAAACATGTTTCTGCACTAAGAGCTAATGCATTAATGTCTTCTGAAGTGAGACCTGAGCAATTTGCTGTTCTTGTTCAAGACTTGCCGGATGTCGCTCCAGGTCGAACTCGAAAGGATCAGGTCGATTCATATTTTAAATCGATCTATCCTGATACATTCTACAGATCACTTGTGGTTACAAACAACAAGAAGGTAATTCAATTGAGTTACCACTTCATTTCTTTCTTGGCCATTGATTGATCATATGTTGGCATTGTGTATGTTTGTGTAGGTTGACAAAATATGGGGAGAATTGGAAGGATACAGAAAGAAGCTTGCACGAGCTGAAGCGATATACGAAGGCAGCTCGACGAGACCGACCAACAAAACCGGCTTCCTTGGCCTTTGTGGTAAACAGGTTGACAGTATTGAGTACTATAATGAAAAGATCAAAGAGCTGACACAAAAATTGGAAGCTGAACAAAAGGTGACCCTGCGAGAAAAGCAGCTCGGATCTGCTTTGGTTTTCTTTACCGACAGGGTAACTGCAGCCTTGGCTGCTCAGAGCCTACATGCTCAAATGGTTGATAAATGGACGGTAAAGGAAGCTCCCGAACCGCGACAACTTATATGGAGCAATCTGACTATCAAGTTCTTCGAGAGGATAGTTCGACAATATATCGTTTACGTCGTTGTGTTTTTGACTATAGTTTTTTATATAATTCCGATTGGTTTCATATCTGCAATCACAACCCTTGAGAATCTGAGAAAACTTTTTCCATTCTTAAAGCCAATTGTTGATCGGGTCGAAATTAAGACAGTGTTGGAGGCATATCTTCCTCAGCTTGCACTCATCATATTTTTAGCTTTACTGCCTATGTTCCTTTTGTTTCTATCCAAGATGGAGGGAATTCCATCCGGCAGCCATGTAATAAGGGCGGCGTCCGGAAAATATTTTTATTTTAGTGTGTTGAATGTTTTCATTGGTGTTACTATTGGTGGAACTTTGTTTAGGACAATGAAGAGCATTGAGAAAGATCCTAACTCTCTTGTTCCTTTGCTGGCTAAAAGCCTCCCTGTCAATGCAACTTTCTTCCTCACATTTGTGGCTCTAAAGTAAGCATAATTGCCTTTGTGTATTTTGTGATCTCTTGATGTTCGATTCATGGTCATTAACATTTTGGTACGCAGGTTCTTCGTCGGTTATGGACTCGAGCTCTCCCGAATAGTTCCTCTAATCATATATCATCTGAAGAGGAAATATCTTTGCAAGACGGAAGCAGAGATTAGAGAAGCTTGGTTTCCTGGAGATATTAGCTATGCCACTAGAGTTCCTAATGACATGCTTGTCATCACCATTGTTCTCTGCTACTCGGTTATAGCTCCTGTGATCATCCCATTCGGAGTGCTTTACTTCGCCTTGGGTTGGCTTGTTCTTCGGAATCAGGTAACACATCACTTTTTAACTCTTTGAACTAAATGCATCCAGGAAGAACAGTGAAGAAAAGTTGTATGAACATCGAATAACAGGCAATCAAAGTTTACGTCCCGGCATACGAGAGCTACGGAAGAATGTGGCCTCACATGCATAACAGGATCATTGGCGCCCTGCTGTTATACCAAGTTACAATGGTGGGTTACTTTGGGGTGTCCCAATTCTACTACACTCCCATCCTGTTTCTGCTACCGATATCGTCTCTGATCTTCTGCTATGTCTGTCGAAAGAAGTTCTATGACGCGTTTTGTCACACGGCTCTCGAAGTTGCCAGCCAAGAGTTGAAGCAAACTCCGAACATGGAACAGATATTCAGATCATATGTGCCGCCAAGCTTGATTTCCGAGAAGCAAGACGATGGACAGTTTGAAGATGCTTTATCTCATTTTTCAAGAACAGCGTCATCTGTTTGATGTACATTCTTTGTGTCGCAAATCACAAGTAGTGAAACTTGAAATTTGTGTTTATAATATGCTTTAGGGAACCATTCTGTTTGGTTGTTTGCATGAAGCATAGCATCTCTCCTTTGGATGTACATTAATTTAGCTATTTGTACTTTTTTTTTAAAAAAAACATACAAACCAATTAAGTGAATTCATTATGTCTAATGAATTTTATTAGGGATGTTAATGGAACGGATTTTGTAGTACTTGCTCCCACTTCGCGTTCAATTAAACAATGATGGATACAAGTTTCGCGAGTGGTGAGACGAGAATAAAAAAATTTAAAATTAGACCTACATACAGTAGGTGGTGGGAACAGGTGGATATGACCTTATACTCACTATATCTCCCCTCGTCCCGTTTAATTGACATCCCTAAACTTTATTAACATATTTTAATAAATAAAAAGAAGCTAGAATATGAGTTCCTTGATGAATTTAAGTTGGCGAATACTAGTGTTACATAACTTTCAATTAATCCTACATTATATTTACCATTTAGGTATCGACTTAAAATACAAGGTTAATCTTTTAACATTTGATATTATGATACATAAGTGGTTACACAAGTGTCAAAATCTTTATCAATAGAAATCTTACATGCAGCTATTGTAATTTCTAAAAAGCCTTCAACTTTTGAAGTGTATTAGGTTAACATTTCTAATAGATACTTCAAATATGACATTTTTATTCAATGTTTCTACTTAACTGCAGCTCATAGTTGCCACTTTTGGAGTGCTTTATTATGGTACACCAATTCCACACAAACAGTCATCAAAGAAATATTTTGCATAGCTACTCCCTAACCATCTTTTTCAACCAAGACCGTATAACAAATTCCTACACCAAAAGATTCGAGCGGGGTAATAATGATAACTCCCCAACAGTTTCATGGTTTGGTTCTTTTTAAGGAAGCCCCATTGTTTTTTTGAAGTGATGACAGGAATAATTGTCTGAACTGATTGTTTCTGGTAAGATGATATCTCCAAGCAATTTGCCTTGATTGGTGAAACTCTTTTACATCGAGTCTTTGATGCTACACAAGGAATCCGAATATTTTCTTCTCTTTGCTTCAGGCTCGCCTAACTGCAGTGAAACATAAATCTCCTCATCTGATCCATTTCGTAATGCTGAAAGACTTTTGAACTCAAGGTTTTCCTGTCGGTTATTACCATGAACCGAAGACTTCACATTGAAACTTGGAATAAACTGGTGTTCCACATTAGGAGCAGCTTCAACGCTACCTGCAGCTTGATACTTCGTACACATGACCGGTATTACATGTCCTTGCTCGATATTTAAATTAATAGGCTCAAAGTTCTCAATTTTATCTTTGGATGCAACCTGGACCAGGGGAGAAGACTCCCCGACGGTAGAATTGATCGCCGCTGCAGAAGCATTTCTTTGATCTTGTACAGCAGCTGTGTCAATAACAGCAGAAAATAGAGAGCGTAAAAGGCCAAATAAAGAGACCAAATGCAATACCATCTATTTATGCATCGTCTTCCAGTGAGTGTTTTATTGTATTTATTTTTTTCATATTTCTTTGAACTTGCAATGTAGGGTAGTTGTCATTTCTATATAATTAGATAACAATTACTTTCGTTTCAACATTTAATTTTTTTTGGCTCAAATTAAAGTCCTTTAGCCAAATAAGTATTCTTAAGCACTGATAATAAAGAACCGACATGAGAGCAACAAACTGGGGGAAGATGATAATAATAATAATGGATGTCTTGGGAATACATACCTTGAAGCCCCTCATTGGTTGTGATGAGATCGAGTTCAAGGAGGTCTAAAAGACGCCCAAGATCAACTCCACTAGTCCAATTTTCTGGGGGTTGGCCAACTTTGAGTTTCAACCGACCTCTATTAGCAGTACCACCCCAAATTATCCCAACAGGCTGTGGCTTTTCCCCATTCTGACCTGTTAAAAGTATGAGGCTTCCGCTATCACCTTCAAGGTCAAAAGTCTGCTCATTCTCACCAACAACGAGAAAATCGGTAAAGAAACATATCCCTTTCTCATCATTGTACTCTAAAGCATACGCCATTATCGTCCCAGTGGTCAATCCAGAGCTTCTTCCCACTTTGACGACTTGCCTTCCAATGAGACTGCTAATTGGAGACTGCAAGTCTATGATATGAACATCACCGATCTGACCGACTCCTTTTACAGTTGTAGTTACATTGTTGATATTAAAATCATCAGCAAACGGAATAAAAGCCCCATCTGCTCGCACAAACGTTTCTGCAGGAGGACCAAACCGTGATGATGTGACATGTAAGGGAGTCGGGAAGCAATGGAACATCCATTAGCACAAATGTAAAGTTTAACATGGTATGTTTCATGATTCTAAAGCCTTCTAAATCTTCATTGAAATTCATACACTTGACCCTAGCATCCTGGTCTGATTTTTATTCAATTTATCTATTTTCCACTTAAAATTCCGACGCAATGATCAATGAATTTTCTTGCAGAAATTTGGAGGCAAACAAAGAAATTGGAACTGCATTACCTGGATTTATACCAGCAAAGATTCCATACCAAAGGTCATCTGTGATAAATGAGGTTGCCCTCTCTACAGCACCAAGGTACACACCAGGCCCAAGGCTGGGCGGTAAAGGATGAAACATCTTCTGACTTGGGTAGTCTAAGTCAACTGCAACATGCCGATTTGTGAGGAAACCTACCTGACGATTTCCAGTTCGGCTCTTTACAATAGCACCCAATGTTCCATAGGTCTCTTGGTTGGCAACCTACACGTGCCAGGAAGTAGCTGAATGGTTTAAATGGTATAACTAAAAGCTGGGATCCATTTCTCAAAAGTTCAGGCCAAGTGTGAGAGGGATAACTCTTTTTCTCTAAAGAAATGAGTTATTCAGACGAAGTCCTATTACCAGCACTTTTACAAGAAATGTTGCAAGTCTTAATGCTCTCCTAGAAAGATTAGGAAGTGAGTTTGAAAATAAATACAAATGATGTAAGAGAAAAGACACGAACATTTCTAGAATGAAGAACACAAGACTGATGTTGTTGAAATGTCTTTACATATATGATGATTCAGTCACAATTGTAGCGTATATAAAAGCAAAACGGCTTCCGTACTTCACTAATACTTGCAATTCAAACTGCTTATTGTATAATCAAATTTCTAGCAAATGTTGTAAAATAGAACTGACAGTTAACCTTTCCACATACCATCATGTATATTAGCAACTTCAAATGGCCAAACAAATTATAGCTTTGGGCAATTATACAGAATACACTCAAATAGTTATTAGGGAAATAAATTATACTAGTGTGACTTTTTATTTTAGGAATGAGGATCCTTTCCCCACACTGATAATAGGTCATCAACACATCATACCACAAACTAGAGTATGAGATGGCATAGCATAAAAGAACTTTTTACGACAAGTGGTTGAAAAATTGAAAATCTTAAACAGGATTCTCTATCAATGTATTATTAGTGCCAAATGATGGTGCATGTTATATAGATCGTACAATTATCGCCACATGAAGCTGACAGAGATGATACTCTTTTTATTTCATCCAGAGGAGGAATAATGCAAGGTAGGTGCTCAGAAAAAGAACAAAGCGGAAACCAATTCTACCATTAGTTTCAACAGATTGTTCACACTATTGTTTCTAAAATACCAAACGGGACTTTTATCTCTTTTTTGTTATTCTTTATACTGTTATGAAAAGTTGACAAGGATATTATTTTAAAAAACAGATAATCGTTATACTTCAATGAAACTGGGTTAGGACAATATTTTAGCAGAGTTCCATCTTCTGATTAATAATCCAAACCTAGCCTGTGGCTTTTCAAGTTCTATAGGTATCTCTGGAGTTAAATGAAAGAGGTTTTTCCTTTCTTTCCCTCAAAATAAAAGCTAAAGTGTTTGATGGAATCAAATAACGCCACCAGTTTATAGTACCAACTAACTGGATGAGTCGATTAGCCAATCCAATAACAGCCAAGGGTAACAGTACTTGTAAAGTGTTCAACATTAATCACAGAACATACGTGTGTGTGTTTGTGCATGGCAAACATATCCAAGAAACAAAAAACAAAGCTTGCTAGGAGAATGTCACCAGATTGGTCAACCCATAAGGAAAAATTGTTAACCACAAATTCCCTTTTCATTTGACCTTTTGTCAATGCATAAATTTTATGTATTGCGTTTCTATGCATGCGCATCAAACACCAATTTTTACACACTTTAATAAGAACAATTACCTGTGAACCAGAACCAATGATTGGATCACTTCCCCTCAAGTCATGTACAAGCTCGGTGTACAATTGTTCTTTGGGAGCAGCAGCAGGTGCACCATAATATGAGAATTCCACGACGTCTATATCACACCACACGCCTCCTGGACCCTGACCAGTATTTAATGAACATTTTAACTTCCCAAACAAAATAGGTTAATTCAGGAAAGTTAGCCTTACATCTGAAAATTTATTGCTTAGATCCAATATACTTGTTTAGGAACTTCCAAAACAATCAACAACACATTACATTTTTTAGTAAAATCTGAAATGAATTTGAAGACTTCTCGAGAACATTCTAGCATCACATCAGCCACTATGGATAATATGAAAACCAACAAGTTTAATATAGCTTGAGACCAAGAACAATCCTTCCCTGCAACAACCTCCCATTAAAGCAAGCAGAGACCAAACAAGAAAAACTTAAAGAAAGAAACCATAGTGGTTCAGCAAAAGAGATTAAGCCAGAACCACTAAACTTACCTCAAGAGCAGTAGGTAAACATTGAAACTGGCTAAGCCATTGCCTATGAACTTTACGTGAAACAAAGACAAGAATAGCTGGTATATCCGTCAAGACACCCCGTCGAATACGAAACCCAATTGCTGTTCCAAGACTAAACCTACGCAGTTTTTTACTATGAAATGCTCTAATGGTCATCAACTCAAGTAAGGTGGTTGCTTGCTGTCCTGATGGCAACCGTCCAAGAGTTTCTGGCAAGACCCCTTTCTGTAGGTTTCCAAAATAGTTTGCTCTATCCTCTGCCACATCAACTAATTGACTTGAAGTAGGCCATGAGAAGTAAGCAGCATTGCTCTCAGAATGCAGAGCACTAGATGCAAGGGGCTGAAGAGGAGAAGTACTTGATGAAGGCAGATTAAGATGATTGCAGAAGTTTATTTCCAAATCTAAAGCAGATTCCACTGATTCTGTTGATCCAGAGTGATGAAATCTTAAATCCAATCTGGTCCTTTCCATCTTTCAGCTCCCCTAAATAATAATTCAATTTGACTCAAAACTAAATGAATAGTTTAGCAACATAAAGCAAACCAAAGAATAAACATGATAATGAACATATACAATACTTACTCTTGATTACATCCGATACTGAATTTAGAATACCAAAAGAAGATAACGTTGATATCATTAAAATAGATAAACAGGTATAAGTAAATCATACTAACTCTGTTAATTCCATAAAGGCCGAGTAAGAACGAGTGTAGCTAAATGGCAAATCAGACTAACTGCAAACAGAAAAGATCAAATCATATAAAAAGGAAAAATAAAGAGCTGTGCATTCTCAGATTCTCACCTCTTACATGGAGACTATACTAATAAAAACAAATTCATGAAACGCCAATCCTAGTCAACAAATTGTTAAACGTTGATAGAACAAGTAACTATATTGAAAAATATTCAATAATGCAATAAAAAAACATTAATAGAACGAAAGACAGGACATCATTATATTTAATGTCCAATGATCATAAAGGAAAGAAAATTCTTCCAAGGGTATTTTCAAAATTGAAAGCCAACCAGATAGAACAATGATATATCATCCTCCCCAAGCTGAAGAAAAATGTAAGAGTGAGAAAATATGACTAACAGGAACAGGATGATAGCTTAGATAGCCGTACAGAAAGAAAACCAACAACCGAATTAAATACCCATTTCTAGGAGGATGTCGGGAAAAGTGCTGCAAAAATTGAACCTTCGGAATATGGGTATTTTAGGAGCAGAATAATAATGGACTAATCCGAACCCAGAAAGCTAAAAAGCACCAATTCAACATATTAAACCCCAAAAGAGCTCAAAAGAACGGATAGAATATTGAGAGTAATTTTTAGAAGGAAACCCAAATAAAGATATGACCTTTTATGAGAATCCTGAGCATATATTAAGGTAAAACTCACCTACAAACAATGGTGGAGCTGGGATGGATGACTCAAAAGTCAATCCCAAGTCAATCCCTTCTGGGAGCTTCATGCCCTAGTGATTATTAAACTGTCATTCGGTGTTATTCTAATTGTATCCGTGTGTAAGAAAAAGAGGCTCTAAATTTAGCAAGATTTGAAGCTCCTCTTGAAGGGAAATGAAAGATGGCTCTAATTTAGAGAGAAAGTGAAGGCCACAAACAAAATCTACAAGCTGATAGCCTGATACTGCTATATTGAATTGCAGAGGAACTATTTTAATATTGGGATTTTATAAATAAATAATAAAAAATCCTGAGAGATATTAAAAATACATTTTTAATAATAATCTGTGCATCGAATCAAACCCGTTTCTAAGATTTCAGTAGCATGGGGGCGAATATAGGAATTAGACCTCTAATAAAAAAAATAAAAAAATAAATGAATTGTAAGAACAAACCAAAAATAAATAAATTTGCTTGTAAATTATTTTCTTTATTATGTTTAATAAACTATCTAATAAATGCATCAAAAGAACATTATTAAACACCTAACTACTTACACAAAACAAGTGTGATCCTCTTTTAGAGGGGCTCATATTCAATTTCAATCTTCTTCATCTTGTTAAAAAATAATAAAAAAATAATTAAGTGAAAAAAAAATTAAAAATACCACATCAACATCGCCGTTAATCTTTTAATTGTGGATAACTAAAAAAGAAATAAAATGTAATGTTAAGTATGATATTAAAAATAATAATAATAAGATGACCAAAAAAAAGTAAAATAATAGATGGGTGACTAAATAGATAATTTATCCTTCTAATTATATGTGGATTTTATAATTTTTGGGAATGTAAATCTTAGTCTTAAAACACATACAAATATATTGCGTTGATAATTAGAGGAATGTAAGCCCTAAATTTGAGAACATACGTTCAATAACTTATCGACGATACAATATCGAGGTTAGATAAAACTCAAGAACCCTCAAGGTCTTGGTCCCTTATACATAACAAATGAAGACTTAATACGCATGTTGCTTCGACCAACCTCGATTAGAAGCTTGTTGAAGCAATTATAAGGCATGCTTAACATATGGAAGTAGCATAGAAAAACACTCTTGCATCTCCATTTATACAGTGCATAGATATTATTTGCAGCAAATATCATATTAAAAAAATAATTATGGTTGACGCATAGAAGAAAATAGACATGAGTAGAGAGAAATGCATACAATCATAATTGTGCAAGAAAATAATTATGAATATAAAATCATGGTTACAAGCAATTGCACATTTAATAAAGTAAGATGTGTTTGATGACCAAGGTTGACAACTGTAATTGTACAAATAAATAATTTCAAATATGAATTCGTTGTTACAAATTTCTCAGAAGGTTCTCCAAACGAAATAAAAATTTAAAAATTAAGAAGTACAATACTCAGCTATATATTTTATGATATCCGTTAAAACAACAATCTAAAGATCAAGCAAAATTATCTCAATGACAATGGAGAGAAGACATAAAAGATAATTTCATTAGTGAAGGATAACATTGCCACATTACATAGATTTATCTCCTTTTATAGATGTAAGGAGAGGAAAATGACAAACATGCAATGAACTCTAAATACACAACTCTTACGTATCAACTTTAATCATTATAATTTGTAAACTCGTTAGAAGTTATGTTGAGTTGTTCAATCTTTTGAGCTTTTTCTTCTTGTTTGCGGTACATATCATCATACAATGCTATAGGTTCGTTTACGTATCATCTTTCTCCACTACTTTCGCATAAAAACTAGAAACATCTGTGTCAACCTCGATAAATTCTGCGTATAGCTCCATATTAACTTCAGAATTGACATTGTATATATGTTAACATCCTGTGAAAGCATCATTGTTTAGATAAATCTTTATATATAATTTTGAAAATAATGTTGATGGGAATCTAAAATGCAATGAAGAAAGTCTTCTATTTGTCTACTTGGATCTTTGTTTAAATCTTCTTATTCTACTTGTCAAGTTTAATGTTTCTTTTGAAGCACATGTTCAAAAAATTTCCATTATAATAAACAATGACATAAAATGTTTCATAGTAAAGTGAGCAACTTAAGTTTTATAGCTAATAGCTTATTAGTTTGAAAGATGATAGCTTTTAAAATTTATAGATTTTCTACAGACTTTTCTTGTCTACGTACTCTGACAGTAATGTCATATTCTATTATGCTTCAAACATGTAAACAAAGTTACGAATAATATTTTGTAAAGGACGAATAGTTACAATGCCTCAGGAGGGATATATAGGTTCTCTACATATTTACATGGAAGATTTGTTTAAACAAAAACATTTATCTTTTAGAACAGAGATTCATTGTACACTTTTCTTGTCTAGCCACTTCCAACAGTTGTGTCATATCCTATTTTTTTTAAATCCAAAAATATTCTAATGTTAGAAACCCCAACACTACCGATCGATCGAAATTCTAATGTTGTTAACCGATTGAAATCTCATATACCAACTTTTGCACTAACATGACCGAAACACCTTGCACAAACTTTTGCACCAATGCAACTGTCTTGCGCTCTACCAAGTTTTGCATCAAAATGCAGCTGCCTGCACCATGCTTAAATCTCAGCTTCCAACACAGTTAGGTGACGACAAAGGTATCTAAATCCATATATTTTCAATTTCAAACCCTAATTTCCCTTAGTCCCTAAATCTCAAATACCTAATCTCCTAATCTTTAATTCTTTTACATCATCTATTTCTATCATCGTCGTCAAACACCCATCAACCCATAGCTGGACATTTACTGTTGGTTAGATATCGTCGTCTAAATCTTCTAAATCTCTAAACTTAATTAGAGAGTTAGGATTTTAGAGATCTGAGAATCATGGTTAATTAGACCACATGTCAAACATTGACTGGTTAATTAATTTTTAATAGATTTTTTTAACTATCATAATGATAAGACACATAAAATAGTAACGAAAAAAATGTTAAACACTCACTTTAAATGAAAAAAAAACTATAAACTTAATAAAATGTATAATTTAAACTCTTATTTATTTAATTAATTAAGCCTTTTATCTTTAATCATTTATTTTTGTTGATACTTTAAAAGATTTTTGGGGCTATGATTTAAAGATGATTCATTTAGTATAAGATAAAAAATAGGCGTGGGGCATAGATGGGGTAGAAATAAAAGCCCTCAAAATTGCCTTTTTAATATTATCATTACCGCTTTTACTTTTCTCTTTTTAATGGGTTTTATCTAAATAGTGAAAATTTTGCCCTTTTGTTCCCTCCCCCCCTTTGATGTGCCATTTTCCATTATATTTGCTTTACATGGCCTACCAAAACAGTATTAATAGCCATTTTTGCTAAAGAGAATCACCTTTCTACAAGTTTATACCAAATCTTCTCTCCCTCTCCACTTGCCACATCTTATCTTCTTTTTTCACATTTCAATGATTAGAAAACCACCAATCTACACTAACCAGGTGAATTGTATCTATGAATCACAAATCAAATCTTTCTTTAAGTTAATTAAGTAGTAGGGTGTAAAATTCTGATCACTTGTTTCGTTTTAAATTTTGGGTGTACGATTTGAAGGATCATGTTAATTTCAGAAAACAATCATTCAGTCTCATGATAATTTTGTTTCTAAGATAATTATTTATCTATGACACGATCTAATCTTTTTATTTTATTTTTGTTCAATTTATTCTATCCCATCATTGTTAATTTTTTATTTTACTGCAATACAAATTATTTCAACAATCATCGTGTCATGTATTAACTCTTAACTTGTGTCATTACCCAATCTGTTTTGGAAAATGCTCTGTAATATTCAGTTTCTTCTACTCCATTCTTAGGCCTTTTTTCTTCAAATGTATTTGATAAAAGCTATGATTTAATATTGGTATAACAAGTCATATAATATGAGAAATGGAATTGAAAAGGTCTATGAAAAATGGAAAAGGGACCATTGGAGGGACTTCAACGATGCAATTATTAAATCAATGTACCAAAAAAGAGAGAGATGGGTTCCACCATATTACTAAATTTCAATAATTACAAATTTGAAAAATATATTTAATAAATAAAAATAAAATTTTTCCTATAACAAAAGTAGAAAAAAATATATTCGGTGTCGAAACTGTTTATAATAGACGAGAGAAATAAAATAAAAGAAATCCTTACATTTATATGGAACCCCGGAGGAAATGGTCGCGTTAATCCAACTTGAATGTAATGGCCTAGGCCAAACCTGAATTGTAGTTGTTAATCCTTACCCGATCAAAAATAAAAAATTATCTTATTTTCAAAATTTTCAATTTACAAAGAAGCAATAGAAACACATTTTTATTTTTTTTAACTTTTACATATTTTTCATTTTTATTATCTAAAAGACATTTTAATTTTTCTAACTAAACAAATTTTGTTCATTGTTTTATATTTTCTAAAAAGTACATATGAAAAAATACTTTTGTTTTTTTAAACCAAACACAGGGCCGGTTAAGTGATGCAATAAATTTAGAAGATTCGTAAACGATGACTTCAAAAGGCTTAATAAATAAATTGACATGTAAAGCATGGTTGAATGTCTTTTTATTTAGCATAATCAGAAAAATATTCCTCATATTTATACAAATAATTATTTCGGTCTATATTCTACTATTTTGGAATATTTTAGTTCTTAATTTTTAATTTTTTTGTTAAAATATTCCATTTAAAAGGAAATTATTAGTTGCCTAACAATCAATATATATTACTAACATGCCAATTTTATATGTGCTTGATTGCTAGTATGATGTATCACGTATTGTGAGTGACATGCCACATCATAACTTTTGATGACATGACACATATCAAGTCAATAATTAAACACATGTGAAAATGATATGTCAGTCAGTGTTCACCGTTAGTCAATTAATACTTTCTTTCCAACATGGATGTTCTGTCAAAAATTAAAACGTTAAGAGATCAAAATGATCTGTAAAAATAAAATAAATAGTCAAAATACCATTTATACAAAAGTTGAAGTAATTTTTGTTAAAAGTCAAATAATTTAGGCACCAAATGGTGCTTTGTCAAAGTCAAAAATTAGACACCTAATTTTTGTTGAAATTGGATAATGGGATAATTAATTTTAGTCATTGTAATTTAGGATATTTATAAGATTAGTCCTTAAGTTTCAACTATAAATACTCTAGCTCATATAGCTT